GGGGGGCTTTACCTTTAAACTTTACTTTTTTAACGTGCCGTCTGCATTTCCATACTGCCATGTTTAGGGGAGTCAGCACTGCCATCATATTATTGAAGTGAATGAAGTGTTGGTTATAGAGCCAGAAATGATGCTGCTTTGAAAGCATCAGTGATGCTCAGTATATTTGATTATTAGTATCTAGCAACCGCTGAATGCAGTCATTCCCAAAAGATCTGTTAACTGGAACAATGATACTAAGTAGCCAAGGGCAAAATCTGAAATATTCAAAGTGTTTTAGAAGTAGTGAAACCAATACCGACTTCCACGGACCCTTTGACAGTTTGCTTAACCTGCAAATTAAGGGCAAGAAGTCTGTTTTCCACAGTGTGACTTAATTGCCCGTTGGTATTTCTGAAAGGATGAAGCAGAAGGTGAAGTAGGCGGAAGATGGCCACACTGTAAATAAAACTGTGTAGTTTAAACATGGTTTGAAGTAGTTTGCTCACTGTGGGAGAGGAGATAAAGTAACTACTCCCTGCTGTCCTGTTTATTAGAGAGCATGTCTGTTTCTGGCACAGGTTTCTGAAAGAAAATACATTTTCAAAGCAATCAAGGTATGAATTTCCTGAGGGAGAGTTAGAGAAAAGCAGCGTTTTGGAGGCAAAAATGAAACCTCAGCACTGGCCACTGCTTTCTGTTCCAAGGTGCACTTGCTGTAAGGATGCCCAGAAGGAGACTGAAGTCCAGATGTGAATCAAAGTTCGTAGGGAGAGATAAGGCACTTGATCTGACACGCTGCTAGGAGCACTGATTGATTAAACAGAAAGGAGCTAGAAGAACTGCCAATTTGCATCATGTATTGGAAAAGGCCTAACTGTATTCGAGAGGAAGTTGGAAGGAGTTTGACATAGGCCTTCCGTTTGCAGACCTGAAAGTAGGTTTTAATGTAATAAAAATAACCAGAGGATAGACCTTTCAGTTGTTGCGGGTGGAATGCAAATGCAAGCAGGGGTAGTGACGTGCACAGGTATATGGTCCTGATTTAAAAGCCGTGTGCCCATTCTGACAAGTGTTACGTGTAATGTGACCCTTTGTGAATCAGCATGCCTTGTCTCTGCATATTGACTCCAGCATGTTAGTGACACCCCCAACAACTGAAAAATGGACCTGGCTAAGTACTCGGCACAGCTTCCTCTCTGTTGGAAGGATTCAGCTTCTCCTTTTGCCATTGACAGCTTCTGCTGGCTCCTGGAAGAAATGGCAGGGACCTTTCCTTTCCTCTGACAAGGCCTCATTAATTCTTCTCCTGTGCAGAAATCGTATTTATATGCTTCGTTATGGGATGTGGTTAGATCCTGATATACATGTCAAAAGGCATATGTATTTTTGCCTCATATTTGCATATGCATATATAATGGGAAATGACACTAGCATGCATACGTGCAGACCCTGACAAAGCACGCTAAAGCAATGACACAGAGTCTTTGCTTTTTTCCTCCCATATATTATATCTCCAAAGCGCTTTATGGACTGCTTAATATTTTACACAAAATGATGTGTGAACGGAATGTTAGGTCTAAGATTAATTAATCATCAGGAGGCCATTATGTTAAGATTATTGGTCTTGATTCTGCCAAAGGTTGCCTCTGTGGTATGAGATGATTCTAACTGCAAGGGCTTGTGTCTTCTTCTTCCTCTTAATCCTTTTCCCGTTCAGTGCGATGCAGAGTGTGCTCAGAAAGTGAAAGAGCAGTTCAGAAGGTAGCTTTCTGTGCATTTTTTCAGTGTGTCCACTCCATACCTCGTGTACTTTAGTGTCTGATACCTTCCCCAATGCCTGGGGCCACATCTACCGGTTCTGGCATGGGAAGAGAAATTACTGAATCTTTTTTTTTTTTTTTCTTTAGTTTGGTAGAAATGTTGTGTGTTTTGTTGCTCTCGTGATTGTTTATGTTATAAGCTGTAAGTGTCTGATGTCCATTAATTTGGTATTTGTTTTCCAGTATGTCCTGTCTGTCCTGAAATTTACCTACCCTACCCTTTTTCAAGGGTAAGTACTGTTTTAAGAATAAAGTTGTTTAAAAAATTACTTTAGTCATCAAATGTCTTGCTGTTCCATGCTGAAGCTAACTTTAGTACCTCTTGTCATTGCTGGCTTTTGCTGTCTAGAGAACATACGTCATGAAGCCTTAGTAAAGCATTAGTGTGTCATGGTTAGTTTTTAAACATAATGGTGGTGATGTAATTGAGATCTATAGACTCTATCTTTTCTCATTTTTCTGAAAGTTTTACATTTCAGCACAGAAAAGTAGCAGCTATAGTACAGCTTGTCTTCTTTGGAATTGGCACTCCTGGATGATGTGGCGGTGTGTATTCTTTCTCTGTGCTAATGAAAACCAAACTTAAACATATCTTTAGGCTTACACAAATCCCGTGTTGCTTATTTTCATGCTTAGCCTTTGTTGTAACTCTGCATCACAATTCACTGCCATATCTTAATGCCATATCTTAACCAGAAATATAATGTTTTGTCAAGTATCCATACGTACTATTGGTGGTGTTAATACTTTGTGAGACATTTAGTGAAAATCTGGCTTCTTAGAGTCAAGACTTCCCCCATTTGTTCTTTTGAGATAATGGTGAAATCTGCAGACACTGGATGTCTTTAACTCTTAACTGCTGCTTATATTTTTGCCTGACTTGGACCCCCAGGGCTGCGATCAAATGTAGGAATAATTGTGTCGGGAATCTCCATTCTCTTTGAGTGTAGTCAGTTCTGTGCTTTCTTCAGTTTTGACACTTGCCACTCCCTGTCCCCTCCCCCAGATTTTATCATATGGGGAAAGGGTTTTGGGTAATGTATGTAAAATACAAGTGTGGTAAATCAACAGATAAAAAAGCGTATTTCAATGGCAAGCAACTGCCTTACGGAGTCTGTGTAAGAACAGTTACTTCCTTCTGCTGTTATTTGGAAATGCATCTCAGCATCTTAATATTTTTCCATAGATTCTGTCTTTCAAAGGTGATCTTTACTTCAAAGTTAAGTGGCTCAGATGTGCTTTTGTTTTGAGCTATGACAGATGAGCAAAGGAGGAAAAGAGCGTTAGTTAACGCTGTTACTGTTCATTGTCGTTGGTTTGGTTGCCTATGTAATCCAAGACTATATTGCATAGTGCTAAGGGTCTGGAACTCTTACTAACTTGAACTTCTGTCCTTACAACCTGATACACGAGGAAATTCTTCACAATAAAGTTCATGGGAATTCATTACTGGCTTGTAATAGAGCACCATCAAGCCTGGAGCAAACATCAGGGATACCTGGCTTTTAAGATCTCATAGGGTCCCTATCTAAAAAAGGTGAAGTGGGCTGTGATATTAGCATTGAATATTCATCATGCCCATGTCGGCAATGAGCTTGCTCTTCTCTGACACTGTCCAACTGTATGTAATACTGCGTAGAGTGAATATTTGTTTATTTCCATGTGTGTGAGAGATATTTTAAATAATTGCTTAAATGCATTGCAATGAATGGGAATAGTAAATAAAACCACTTCTATGCTACAGATTTTAATGTGATTTAACACTGTCTGAACGGTGCTAGATTCAAGGGTTTTCACTCAAGAAACACCTCTCTGAAAACTACTAGGTTAAGACATAAGGAAGCTAATAACTTACTTGAAAGCTTAAAAAACAATCAGTGTATATCATGAGTAATTTTAAGTTATCTGCAAACATTTGTAGGGCCTCACATACTATTTCCAATAGACTAAGGAACACCTTTATGGTGGGATGTCATTAGATAGTTAACTCAGTGCAGAATGTATGTAATTGTTATATACCTTTCTAATGAGAAAAGTGCAGTATTGTGGTTTATATGGAAGGTTATCTGGCTGAAAAGATGTTTTCTCTAGAGGCTCTGAATCAGAGGCTTGTGCAGCATAATGATGTTATTGGTGATGACAATTCACTTGGTGCTTGCTACACAAGATGTTGGGGTGGGAGGGGAAAAGTGTGAGTTTGAGGGAGTTTGTCATCGAAGCCCAGCATGAATAACCACGGGAAGTCATAAAGCTAATATCTGAAACTATTAGGACTGCACACATCATCCTTGGGGCTTGTTACTTCAGCTGAAGCGAGCCTTTGAAACCTGGAATCATGTTTATTTGTTCTAACAATAACAGTTTCTGCACGAGAAGATGATCATCTCTTGTCACAAACCTTGCCTCGCTCTCATCTTCAGATCATCATGGCTTTATCACTATTACTGTTGTAAACCTCGCGTGGGAAGAAATGATAAAATGGGGATTCAGTAACATGACTAAGGTAAATTACTATCTTCCACAATTACAAAACATTTGAAACAGGAGGTGGAAGAAACAGAGTCTTAGAAAATTTGGACAAAATGAAGGCCCACAGAAATGAAAGATTCAGAGAGAAATAGTGGCATCCTTGGAAACCTAGAGAAATCGTAAATAACTGGTCATGGGTGTGCTGCGAGATATTCTGTGGATTCTGAGGTCATGTTCCTTGTGGTTAAAGAGGATGAACAATTCAGAACTGCTGTTCTGTTTCCATTTCAGGTGGCAGACATTAGTGGGTGGCATTCTGCTTCATGTCTCCTGGAAGCTGGGCTGGGTGGAGATAAACTTGTGTTCAAGGTACTGTGGGATTTTCTGTATCTGCTAAATACTTACTTTCTGTAGCTGGTTACGACATAGTTACTTTGGTTGTGGAAGCTACTAACTTGCTAAAATACCGCGACTCAGAAGAGTCATCCAGCATGCTGTACTGTGCTCAGGTGGAACCATTCTGTGGTATGGAATGTGGCATATATTTTTTTATTTTGCAAAATGTTATTCTTTAGGAGTATACCCACAGCAATTGTTGGTTCTCCACCTCTGGAGGTATTCAGAGCTTTACTGGACAATGACCTGAGTAATGTGACTTGACTCTGCAGCGGGGGTGGATTGGACTAGATGACTGCCAGAGGTCCCGTCTGATGTAACTTTTTTTCAGTCATTCTGTATTTGCAAATGGCAACTGATGGATTTTCTGATTGAGATTCTAACTGATGGCTTGCAAACCTGAATCTCCTCATTTGGAATGAAATCCTCTTTGTACGTCAGAAGAACCGGCCTGAATTCATTTTCATGTCCACCCAAGTGACTGTATCACTACTGAAACTTAAGTTGTAAATGGAATCAGAATTTAACTTCCTATCTTATATGCAGTGTAGCTAAAATGAGGGTATTGGTGTAAAAGCTGTCAGTGACATGGGTAGAGGCAATAGGTAGGGTGCAAACCTTGCTGTAGTGACAGTGACTGATATACATACTCTTATCAAACGTATATTGTTTATGCCTTCACAAAACAGTCTAAAGGACAAAGAAATACAGCCATCAATAATGTAATTTTTAGCTCGACTTTTCATCACTAGAGGATTACTTTTGCTTTAAATCGTGAAATTAGAGAAGTTGAATCTTTTTCCAGCTTGGAGAAGATATTTTAATTTTTTCAAAACTTGGAAGACATTAAAGAAAATAACCGGACAAGAACCGTTTTCTGCTGGTGGAGAGGATGTTTTTACCTCAAAAAAGTTTTGGTGCAGAATTAGTTTGTGTTTTGCCTTCAGGCCACTAGATGTCAGCACGCTATAGGACAAGTGGTTAAAATACATGCGGAGAAACCTCTTAATTAGTTTAGCTACTACAGAATGCCTCTTCTAGAATAGGCTGAATGAAACGACCAGAATTAATTGACATGTTTTGGCTGTAATTAAGCCAACTACTTAAGCATGAGTTTAAATCTGCTTTGTCTTCAGA